CCCCTGAGAACTGAGCTTTCCCAACCAGAAACTCCAGATCAACCCATGGGCCGGAAACCCAAAGGTTGGGAGCCCAAGTATTTTCAGATTTGTAGACCACGACTCTGACTTCAGCTTGACCCTGGGATGTGAAGCACATGCTTTGGTGACCCCACACATGAAGACACAGAACAGGTGATGAGGAACCCTCCGAGCAGCAGAGCCGCGCTGAGTTTGGGGGTGTGGGTCAGAGCCTCTGGCCTCGCGTGCGAGGACGTGGTGGGCGGGCAGACATAGAAAGATTGGAGCAGATGGGAAACCCCAGGCCTTTCTGAAGCTATTTTGTGGATTTGGGAAGAGGAGAGATTTTGATGCAACAATTGGCATCAAGCCAGAGGAAGGTACACCTCGAGGTGGGAATAGTTTCAAAGTTGCTGAAGTAGGGACCCCAGAGAGACATGGCAGGATGGCCTGCCACAGTCACTGCCACAGAGGCTGGGGAGGTGCAGAGGTCTCAGCCCCCCCAGCCAGGCTTCCCTCTTGCCGAGTGTCTCCTGCTTTGCCATGGCCAATTGCCTCCATCCCAGCCTCCGATAAACGCTTAAAAGCTCAAATCACACAACCCCAGGCTGTGGAAATAAAAAGGGACCCGATAGCCGCTAATAGCCGAACAGCCCCTGCGGCAACAGCGGGTAGTGGAGGGAAAGTGGTTTGCATTGATCAGCGGCTCCCTGTTGCCTCCCGCCCCGCTCTGCCCGGCTCTGCCTGGCTGCTGCAGCCACAGCGCTGGAAAAACGGGATCAAACCCCGCGGGAGGCGCCAGAATCCGGGCAATGGCAGCAATGGTATGGTTTGTAGGGTTGGTGTGAGATCCCATTAAAGTGCCATCCTTCTGCTCCCCACTGTCCTGTCCTGGCAGGGTCACCAGGGCAGCATGTCCCTGGGATGCCGATTGCTGCGGACAAACAGCAGTGCTGGGATCACAGACTGGAGCAAGGCTGAGCCTCTGGAGCATGAGGGACCGGGACAGCCCAGAAAGAAGCAGCTGATGGATGTAGGAGCAGGGAAAAGTTGTCCTTTTGTTTGGTGCTGGGAGTGCAGGGCACCACCAATGAATTCCCACCCAGGGTAGGACCAGCTCATGAGAGACCACAGGAGCCCTCGGCTGCAGGACGAGGTGGAGGCAGGTGGTTCATCACAACAATGAGTGGAGAAGAACTTCAGTGCCTTTCTTGAGCCCCTTCCTCCATGCCATGTCCTACAGCCATCTAGGAAAGGCTGAGGGCAACCAATTTCCTTGGGAGCGTTGTAGCTCCCTGGCAGCCTCCCGAGTCAGCCTCACAGGTCAGTGGCAAAAGGAGGACACCAATTTGAGAGATGGGGTCTCTGTTCCAGCCAGAACAGCTCTTGGGTGTCTGTAAAAGCAGATCAGGACATGCCCACCTACGGATGGAGAGGATGGCAGGAACTGTTTGTGTTGGTACAGGACCCATTGGATTGAGCCCCTTCCTGCATGTGGCTGCCACAGACTAGGAGGAGGCTCAGGGAAGGGATGAGGTCTGGAAGGGTTTGGCCCCACGTACAGCTTCATCCTGGAAAGGAGGTGGTGAAGCAGAGGTGTGATGATGAACCATGTGGCTGGAGGGTGGACAGGGACTGTGGTTGCTGCTTCCACCGGTCAAAAAATTGGGGGCCATTAAATGAAACTTGTGGGGACAACAGGCTCAGAAAGCTGGAGAATGAAGCTCTGGGCAGTGTGCCAAGAACTCCCTGCTGCAGGATGCTTTGGAGGCTGAACATTTCCACAGCTTCAAGAGAAGCTCCTGGAGATTCAGACTGGGGAGGGCCACTGCCATGTGTTGCATCCAGTGGCACCCCGTCTCCTGGGATGGCCGAGGGATTAGAATTGGAGTGGTACTATAGATACTTCTCCTACATCTCAGGAACCTACTTTGACTGTTAGTAGGGACATGATGGCCGGCTGAGGTGACACAGTTCGTCTATCCCAATGGTTTGTATGCCCTTCCCTGCATCCCTGTGGCTGGAGACCAGGCTGGGATATTTAAGCACTGGAGCACCGGGGACTCCAGATCTCTTTCCTGGGCATCTCTCCCTTCTTCTTTCCCTTTGTCTCCCTCTCTTTCTTCTCCCCTTGCCGCTCGGCTCCCTCCGCCCGGCGCTGCCCTGCCCTGGGCGGTCCCGGGGCGGGGAGCAGGGATGCCGCAATTCCCAGGCACAGGTGCGCGGTCCCTGCCGCGCTGCCCCCGGGCACGGCCCCCCCCGCCGCGCCTGGCAGCCCACTGGAAATAATGTGTTGTGGCAGAGAGAGACTCAGCAGACCACGAAGATCTGCTGGTGCGGGAACTGCTCAGCAACCAGGAGCCACAACGCCTGTCCCCCAGCTCCACAGGGCCTGAGCCGGCTCTGGGGATGCCTCTGCTCCTCCGGGGCCTGCCCAGATCACACGCAGGGCACCTTCTCACTCTCTCATTCTTTTTCTTTGCTCTTTCCCCTTCTCCTCCCTTGCTGTTCCTCTCTGCATCGTTAAGGAGGTGGAAGCAGCCAAGCTGCCTGTCCCTACACGGGAGATCTCCCTGCCGTGCCCCGCACCACCGGGCACAGGAGGGGAAACAACGGCTTTTGCAGCAGCCTTGGAGGAGGAGGAGGATCAGGTGTGCAGGAATGGAACAACCAGTGCCAGTCTTCCAGCAAAGATTTAATCTGCCTCTGGCATATAAACAGCAAATGTTTGTTCAACTGACCTGCAAACAGGGGACGTGAATCGCAGCAGGGCCGAGGTGCCAGCTCCCTGCACTTGGTTCCTTGCCATCCAGCAGGGTGACATGGGGCAGGGAACCAGGGACAACGAGGTCCAGGATGCTTGGGGCACCCCAGGCTCGGTGGCTGGAGCCAGGGAGCGATGCTGGGAGGGACCTCATGCCACCCAGCTGCTGCATCCCTTCTGCTCCCTCGAGCGCGTGCTGAGCTCTCCTGGCTCACGGGCGTGATGCACACACACCGTGTCTGAGGGCTGAAGGACAAGTATGTCCCTGTAGGCTGTCCCTCGCTGCCCTCAACCTGCAGGCAGGAGGCCCCAAGCTCTGCCTGTACATTCCACTGTGATGGGAGAAATCAGCCTTGGCTGCTGCAGGTTTGTTACAAGGGGACGTTTTTGCCTGTTTTCTGCATGACCAGCTCTTAACAGCAGGGTCGGCTTCCAGCTCAGCCCACACGTGGGTGTGCAGAGGGCTGTCCCCAAGCCCTGCCTGCAGCTCAGCCTGGTCTGGGGAAAGCCACAGCATGGCTCGTTCCCTGTCCCCATTGTAGGTGGGAAGTATTTCCTGCTGTTTATGATGACCCTCAAAAAGAAATTTGAAAGGGTCCTACATAGGACTTTCTTCCATCATGCAAGCACTCTCACCATGCTCCTGGGGGAAGGTGATACCCTTTGGTGCCTGTGGTGAGGAGATTGGATAACAGACCATGAAGCACCTTCAGCCTGGCACAGCCATCACCTGGGCATGAGGCTGGTGGGACTATCCCCAGGATCACCAGTATTCCTGTTTCAGGGACTGTCAGGTCCTTGAGCCACTGCCTGGACCTGCCCCCAGGCAACTCCTTGTCCCAGCTGCCTAAAGCTGCAGACACACAGGCTCTTTCCCTTCCCATCCTCCAAATCCTGTCTCCTTCTTCCCAAAAGCCAGGGAGCAGATTATTTCCCTGAATGGCTCCAGCTGCCACATTGGTGGCAATCTGGATCTGCTCCTGGCCTCCTCCTTCCTGGGTTCTGCATCCCCACACCAGCCTGACTGCAGCATCTCCTGGGGCAGAGCTCTGCCCAGGGACCTGCTGGGTGGGGGAAGGATTTGGCTCTTGAGAAATGAGCCCTAGATACACAGAATGAGCCCTCAAACTCTGTCCCCACCAGGAGAAATGTATTTTTTTTTTCTGAGAAGCTGGCAAGTCCCTCCAGGGCAAATCTGTGTCTGGAGGGGTGACACAGACACGTGCATCAGAGTCGGGTGCCCCGTAACTGCTTTGCCATCTGTGGAGGAGCCCAATTTCGTGGCCGTGGAGCCTGTGCTGGTCTGGCTCCTCTGGGGGATGAGGAGTCAGAAGGCTGTGCCCCTCGGCCCACTCCCAGAGCTGGTGGAGCGACCTTGGAGGGACGTGCTGTCCCCAGGGAGGTTGTGGTGGGAAGCACAGAGCGGACAGCACGGCATCAGGGGCCTGCTGGGGATGTTGCCTGAACATCTTGATCTTGGGGAAGACACCTGGAAGTGGGGAGGTGTGGTTTAACCTGGATTGGTTTGTTGGGCTGGATTACCCCTGTTGTAGCACAGGACAGTATCAGCCCCACGCAGCCAGGGAGGCAGGTCTGCTTTTCCAGCCCTGACACCCAGTTCCAGGCAGTCAGTCCACAGTCTCTCCCGCCTAGTCTGTCCATCCAACTGCTCTCTTTGTGCCCAGATCACACGTTCCTGTGCAGGCTCACAAGTCTCTGCATTTAGCCCAGTTCTGCACCAGCTTTGGTGCCACAGCTTTGGAACTTCTCCATCAGCTCTGACATTGCAGTAGCCTGGGAGAGGGCAGAGCCAAAGCCACACAGGTCTGTGCCCAACACAGTGTTTAGGTTTCCATTCTTTTCTCTTTCATTCCCTGCCTTCAGCAGGGAAATGGTCCCTGGGCTGGGCTGGGGCTGCCCCAGGGAGGCTGCAGCTGCGTGCCTCAATGTCAGCTCAAGGTGGTTTAGCTTCAATGCCTTTAATAGTGTTTGTTTTCCTTTTCCTCTGGGGTGGCTTGAGAGAAGAGGGTCAATAAGGGAATCAGCATGTACAGGAACACCTGTAGGGTTTGGGTAAAAATTCCATCACTGGCCTGGGTTTCAATCCCAAACATGGGAGCTCCAGATTGACGTCTGTAGCTCCAGTCTCTGGGTCCAGGAGGTGCCCACGGAGCAGAGCCATCACCCTGGGGAGCTGCAGGCACAGCTCACCACCTCCATGCTGTCCTTCTTCCAGGGCACACAGCACTTCCTGGAGAGGTGTGGGAAGATTCACACACCCTGCCCCTCTGTTCCCACAAGGAGCCATCTCCAGGCACCCACCGCCATGTCCAAGGACGACGTGGGCTGCAAGCTAACTTCGGTCTACAAGCACAAGGAGAGGAAGCCGAAGAAGCCTCACTACATCCCAAGGCCATGGGGCAAACCCTACAACTACAAATGCTTCCAGTGCCCCTTCACCTGCATGGAGAAGTCCCACCTCTACAACCACATGAAGTACAGCCTGTGCAAGAACTCCCTGTCCCTCCTCATCGAGTCCGACTGGCCCTACAAGAAGGGGAACCTGCTGCACCCGGAGCTGCGGCTCCTGCACACGGAGCCCTCCCGGCTGCGCGGGCGGAGGGATGAGCAGGACACCTGTGACTCCTCGGCCGCCTCGGTGGGGTCGGGCCGGACCAAGCAGACTCCAGGCAGGGATGGCCATGACGACAAGTCAGGAGTGGAGATCCTGCCTGCTGAAGGAGCTGGTGAAGAGGGTGGCCAGTTCCAGGAGGAGGAGGAGGACGTCGCAGGCCTGCTGCGGGAGATGGATGCGGGGGAGAAGAAAGAGAAAAGCGAAGAGGCAGGTTGCCAAGGTGACCCAGCTGAACCAGAAGTGAATGCTTTGGTCTTCGGCTTCAAGAACAAGAGGGACAACAAGCCTTGCAAGGAGGTGGAGCCTGACTTCATCATCACGGATGTCTTCTCCCTCAAGAACCATGTCATGAAGAGCAGGGAAATGGCCTCCCCTGACCTAGATGCTAAGCCAAAGCATTGCAAAGTGCCAAAGAAATGCCTGGCCAGCGGTGGGATCCTCATGGAGCAGTGGAAGCTGGTGGCAAACGGGCAAAGGAGGAATACACCTGAGGTCTCCCCACCTTGTACTGACAGCAACATCATCCCGTGCTATCCACCTCCAGCCTACAGTGACTACCACGAACCTCAGGGCCTAAACCTCTCACTGCTGGGTATCAACTACCCATTAAACCCCAGTCTCTTCTCCTACCTGAGCCCCACCATGGCCAACAGCACGACAACACACCCACACTTGGCTCAGCTGCCCTTCCTGGCTTCCACGGCCCAGCTGATGCACCCACACGCCTCCCACTTCCAACCTCTGCAGACCCCCGAGCGCTCAGCCTTCCTTCCCCGCTTCTACTACCCCTTGCTCTTCGAGCACACCTTCGGCTCCACTGACAGCAAGATGTCCTCCAGCAAGCCAGACACCCAGCAGCTGGTGGGCTCAGTCATGCCCACACCACCCCAGGCCAAACCTCCCAATGAGCCAACCAAACCCGGGCTGCTGAAGGTACCCATCCTGAAGACAGGTTTTCCTTGGTCCAAAGGTGTCCGGGAGGAGCCAGGCTCTGAGCTCAGCCACCCTGCCATGCTGGAGCAGGAAGAAGAAGAGAAATGGCTGTCCCACGAGAAGGAGGGCAGCCCAGCTTTGGGCCTCACCAACCTGCGCAAAAAGCCAGCCACTGACATCTACCAAACCGTGGTGGGGGTGAAGGATGGTGCTTTCACCCACGGCGGCGTCCGGAAGACAGAGCTGGGAGTGGTGACCTGTCTGGAGACCAGCAGCCCTCCAGGAAACCCACTGAAGAGGAAGTTCCCAGCCAACGGGCTGGATTTGATAGGACCTGAGAGGATGATGCCTGAAAAACTCAGCTACCAGGGCGGGTAAGTTGCCGGTGATAGTTTCTTCCTGACATCTGGTTGACCTTAAACATCACCTTTGTACCCTGTTGTATTACTGATCCCCCTACTAATCTAATCATCTCTAATGAGATGAGCTCCAGAGGGCTGAGCATCCCCCAGGCTGGTGGTCCACACCAGTGCCCACTCAGAGCAGGACTCTCTGCCCTCCAGGTGTGTCCAAGCACCTGGGCTATGTCACACATGCTGTCACTTGCTTTCCCCTATTCTATATAGAGCCAGAGGTCGTGTGTGTCTGTGTGGTGTAGACCTGTGCTCCTCAGGCTCCAGGAAAGCTCCTCTTGTGTCCCCAGATATCCCAGGTTTGCTGGAACAATCATTGCCTATTTTTAAACACACCCATTTGCATTCCTTTGATTCGCCTTCTGGTTTCAAAGCCCAGAAGGAGGGTCACGTTCCCAAACATTTCCTTTTACCTGGGGCTAGAAATGTGCACAGCTCCTTTAAACAGATTTTCGGTTCCTCCCTTGGTTGTGCAAGTCCAGCTGTGACTCCAAGAAAAATGTCACAGTAAACCCACCCCTTTGACACCTGGAGGAACTTTCTCTGGAGAAGCTCTCTGTGGTTTTCTGTCTCCACCTGCCCTTTCCCTGCTCTCAAGTGGGATGGAGAGATCCCCTCCAACTGAGCCTTCATTCAGAACTGTAGGATGGTCATTTCCATCAACATTCTCCAGTGCTCCAAGAAGAGGGAGAACCCAGGTTTGGCCAGATGGGGTGGGATCAGCACCATTTCCCCAGGCTGGTCCCTCCCTTGGTTGATGGGTGTCATGAAACAGTGTGTGCCAGGGCCCATCCTCCTCCTAGGAGAACGATGCCAGGAGCAGGTCCAGCCAGGGCTCTTCACGCTTTGACCAAAATCCTTCCTGGAAGGGTCCCACACTGGCAGCAGCCAGTGGAGGAGCCCCGGCTGTATCTGGCCCTGGACCTGTGTCCAAGGGTTTTCCTGTCATTTTCCCTACTGACTGTATCCGCTTCTTCTCTGCAGCGGTTCAAGGGCCAACGCTGGCAACATCCCCAAGGTCCTCGACCACTGGCACACAGAGGTCCTCGCAGGGCAGCCTGAGGAACCAGAGAGGGGCAATGACACCGAAGTGTTTCCCTCTGTGGGTGCTGCCCTGGACCACAGTCTCTGCAAGCAGAGCAGAGCCCAGGAGACATCTGCCACCATGACAGACTCTGAGGCAACAACCGTGCTCATCGGGGACCTGTCCAAAACCTTGGAGGAGTACCAGGAGGTGGAGAAGAAACTGTCTGATCTGGCAAAGGAGGACACCCCTGGGCAAAAAGAGCTGAGGGACCAGCTGGTCAAAATACGAAGGGAGCTCTACCACATCCACCAGGCACTGGAGAAAGCCACCAAACCCCACGAGGGGCCGCTGGACCTGTCGGTGAAGAGATCCTCGGAAGGTCTGGAGAAGGTCCAGCAGGCCAAGAAGGAGCCCTGCAACATGAGCCTGGGAAGTGAGAAGCTCCACGGCAAAGACCAAGGGCCCCTCAGCAAATGTCCGGCCACGGGGGAGGCCGGAGATGGGGAGGGGCTGCCCAGCTGCCTCCTCGAGGCCGAGAACAAAACCATCGACCTGCTGATCAAGATGAGCCGCTCCGAGAGCCTCCGGGCGGCCTCGTCCGAGGGCCCCCTGGGTGCTGTGATCAAGGCCGAGGTGCTGCCGCTCTCAGTGCCCCTGGAGCTGCGGCACGTCATGGAGCCCTACTACAGCCGCACCACCAAGTGTGAGGCCGACTCCAGCGTCCTGCTCTGCTCCGACGGCAGGTCCGGCACCACCCAGGGCCCTCAGCTCCCGGTCCCTGCTGAGGACGGGCCCCTGGGCTGCCGGGCCATGCAGCGCTCCCTGTCCCGTGGCCTTCCCGGCGACACCGACGCCGTGTGTGTCCACAGCCCTCTGCATGCAGACCCCTAAATCCAGCTCGCTCGAAAGCTCCTGGATCTCACTGACCACCTCATGCTTCACCTTGCCAACGTCCCACCTCTCCACTCCTCCTCTTCCCCATGGATGAAAGCTCAGCTGCTGCCTGGCTGGAGCCACGTTCTGGGGGTCCAGCCAGCTCCCATGGATGACTCCACAAGATGTAAAAATCCAGTCCCTGTCCTCCCTCAGTGTCACAGACAGTGCTGCTGGGCTCTCCATGCTCCTCAGCCTCAGCACCCTGCTCCTAGAGCTCCCTTCCAAAGGGAAATCATTAGCAGCAACAACGGACAACTGCTAAAAGCACCAGACTCTCAGCAAAAGGCTCACCCAGCCCTCTCATCAGGGACACTCAGGGACATTTTCAACCCAGCTCCCATAATCTGTGGACAGGGGAGGGACTACAGAGGGCCAAGCCTTGGTCCAGGCTGTGCTCAAAGAGACTGTGGCTGTCACCTCGTGCAGAGCAAAGACACAGTGGCTTCACCCCACGGAGGCTGGAGGGTCACAGCGGGAAATCGAATGCACAGCTGGACTGACCCAGAGGCCAAGTGCTTTCCACACTCTGGAGACAAGAACATCCTCCCAGTCACAGTGACAAGGTGACATGGCAGCCACCTTGCCAGCTCCACACCTGGGTCCTGAGCTCTCCTCCAGGGGTGTTTGCCATGTGTGGGGAATGCTGGGCTGTGGGGACTTGCTCCTGTCCACTGACCATTCAGGGTCTGGTTCCCCCTTTCGCCTTTACACACAAAGAACCTTCCCTCCCTCTGCCTCTTGGCCTCTGCCCAAGCAGACATGATGCATGGCCCTGATTCTGCAGAGTTCAGCTCCCGGGTGTTCCTGCCCACTGGTCCTAATCCCCCAAATGATGGCACATGGGACAGCAAAATGGGTGAGATGATGCTGCCATGAACCACACAGCTCAAGGGACAAAGACCCCAAAAATAACTGAAGGGACAAGCTTGGCCTGTCTCAAGCTGGAACAAGGCTGAGCAGCCACCCCTGAGCCAGACCACTGGGGATCCACCCACACAGTCAGGTGCCTGATGCTTATGGGATCAGCATCAACCTTCCCAAAAGGCCACCTTTTCCCCATGTTCTTGCCTCTTTTGGGCAGGCTGGGACCCACCACAGGGCAGTCACACCACCCTGTCCCCTGCCACCCTGCTGAGCAGCATCTGGCTCTGGCTCTGTCTCAGGATGTCACCATGCTTGGAGGCCAGGAATTCTTGGAGTCCCTCCCTCCAGTGCTCTCCTCCTGGAAAAGCCAGGCACCCTTTCTTTCCCATCCACACTCCCTGTTCAGGACATGGTGGGGTGTCCTGGTAGCACCCAGAGCCTTCACCACCTTGACCTGGTGGCTTGTTTTTTGGAATGAGAAACACTGGGATGGGGGGGCAGGAGGGCAGGACAAAGGGGACAGAGGTAAAGCCACAAATAAGGGACCTGCACAGTGCATCCAAGGAGCTTTAGACACTCTGGACACAAAGTGGATATTCTCACTGCAGTGGCTTAAGAAGGCAACCCTGCACATGGGACCTGGGATTCACAAGTACTTTGATGGACCCAGACAACAGGAAGAGTTGGCTCTTCTCACTGCTTTGCTCTCTGGACAAAGCTTCCACCTCATCAAAGGAGCTTATTTCTCACTGTAAGACTTTTCCTAAGGCACAGGGGCCTGTGGGGTTGTTGGTCTCTTCTCTCTGAAAGGAAGGAAAAATGATCAGCTCAGCACTGTGGCCCTCTCGAGCCAGCTCCAGGTCTTCCTGATGGACCATGTCCTGCTGCTTCCCAGCATGGCCCTGGCCCCTCAGGGTCCAAGGGAAGGTCATGAGACTCCACTAGAACAGACCCCAGAGCTTCGGTGCAGGACTCTTGATCCCAGAGACCAGAGGAGCTGATGTTGGGCCTTTCTTTCTGGGTGTGAATAGTGCTGTCATCTCTGAATGCCAGAGCACCATCAGCACAGAAGCCCCCTCCACACCAAGCACCTTGCTCACATCACCCACTCCCACCAGCCTCCCAATCTCTCTTCAGCCTCTTCTGCCACCCTGTGCCCCTTTGTCACCCTGTGCCCCTCTGTCACCCCCTCTCCCCAGCTCCCTCTCTCAGACAGCCCTGGCACCCACTGTCCCCACGCCAGCACCTCCCTGTTCCCATATCTCAGGGCTCCCTAATCCCCCCCCCACCTTCTCTGTGCACCCTTCATCCCTGGACCCTCACCCAGAGCACAGCCAGGAAGATGGAGTCCCATTTTCCCGTGACATCCTTCCCTGCCCTCCCAGCCTTTACCTCCTCTGAGGAACAACAAGACGTGTGGGTCCCTCTGCCCACCTGGGAGCCCCATCTCCTCCCAGCCCCGTTGTTTCAGCAGATCCCCATCTGAACCCGGGCACCTCGGAGGTCCAGGGCACCAGGGGGGTAGCTGAGCTCTGGGACCAGCAGCCCTGACCTTCAGCAGGAGATCCCTGCCCAAACCTCCAGGCAGTGCTGCCTTTCACCCTGTGTTAGCTGAGATGCTGCCTGCACACTGCCACCTCTCCCTCCCCAGCCCCTGACTCCATCCTGCTGCCCTGAGCTGGGATGCTGCCCTGCTCTGTGGTGCCAATGCTGTGAACCGGGCACCTCTCCCACAACCAGAGCTGGTGCCCACAGCCCTCACCACGTCACCCACCATCTCCCTCACCTCCCCAGAAAGCTGGGGACCGGTGGGAGCTGGGGGTCGATCACGCAGTATTTATTGTTCACAGTTTTACGAATGTACAAAACAAAAACCAAACCATTAAAGGGAAAACCTCCGAGTGGGAGTTGCTGTTGCCTGCTTTGTTCTCCTTTCTATGGAGCTCTGTCTGCTCCAGCCAGATCCTGCAGCAGTCCCTGGCCATGGTTCTCCAACATGCAGCCTGTGTTTTCAGGGTGCTGGGTTAGCCACCAGATGTGGCCAGATGTTGGCTCTGGCTGCATGTGGTCAGTATTTACGTGGGTGGGTTTTGACTGTTTTGTTTTGCTGGATCAACACTGGGATACCATTAGCTTGTCCCGTGCTGGGAAGAGGGGCAGCCCATTATGTCTGGCAGCAGATGTCAGGGGAAGAAACCTCCTCACAGGAGCCACGAGGGTCCTAATTCATAGAATCATAGAACTCCAAAACAGTTTGGGTTGGAAGAGACCTTAAAGCTCATCTCATTCCAACCCCCTGCCATGGGCAGGGACACCTCCCACTATCCTTGGTTGTCCAACCCCCATCAACCTGGCCTTGGACACTTCCAGGGATCCAGGGGCAGCCACAGCTTCCCTGGGCAACCTGTGCCAGGGCCTCCATACCCTCACAGGAAAGAATTCCTCCCTAACTAGTACTAAATCTACTTTCTTTCAGTCTGAAGCCGTTCTCCCTTGTCCTATCACTACCCTTCCTCCTGCAGAAGTCCCTGCACACACACACACAGCCTCTTCCTTCCATCTCCATCGACAATTTACCATGGCTAGGCCTTGGGGCTGCAGCGCCAGCCCCTGAGTCCTGGTGCAGGGCAGAGCAAAGAAGGGGGTATAGGGTCATATCCCACATCCCAGTGCCACCCTGTTGCTCAGCCTTTGCACCTTGTCCTCAGGGGTGCTGGTGGCACCCTCGCAGAAGGGATGGCTCCCCTCCGTGCACTGGCATGGCTCTCCAAGGCAGCCCCCTGCCCTGGGACTGCTGCTTGCAGAGCGCCAGGGTGGGATTTTCTGGAGGTGGCCAAGCTGGTGGAACCATTCCAGCTGAAAAGATGAAAGCATTTACCTTTACATTTAAATAATGGATGGGAGTTGAACTACCGGGGTGGCTTATCCAGTCTGCAATCTGCACCCCCAGGGCCCTCAGCCCACTCCAGCACAGCGCCCATTACACGGCTATTTGGTCACCCTAAAGGCATCTGATAGGGAGCCATTACCTGCCCTTTACTGCAGGCCCACTGATAGTCATCTTTCCTGGTCAGGGTTGACCAAACTCCCCCTGCTTGTGTGTTCCCCCCATTTTCCTGCCAAGCCAAGAGCAGTCCCAGTCGACAACTGGGGGACCCAGACAAATCCCTCCCCCGCCCTGATGAATCCAGCAGCCCCCCTGCTCCTGGAGCTGGGGAGATGTAGAGTCACAGCAGGTCCCTCAGAGCCCAGCAGCTCCTGGTCAATGGAGCTGCACAACTTTTATGAGTTTCTAACCCCAGGTGGGTACAGCTGCTCCTGCTCAAGTATTCCCTCTCCTCCGGGTTCAAGAGCAAAGGAGAGCTCTGGGATTGGGAGGGAGGGAAGTTTCCTAATAAACAAACCCTGAGGGAAGGCTTATCTCGGGCAAGGCAGTGGAAGGAACCAGATTTCAAGGTTCCTTGTAAAAGGGGAGGTTGTTATGCTCCCCATCCCATTGGCACAAGGACGTGGCCCCAGGGAAGCTGAGAGTGGAGGTGGGTTCGCTGCATCCCCAACCAGTTTTCCAGCTGCATTGGTGTGACTGTGAGCTCTGGCTGGATGCCCTGCCAGGGTCAACAGCAAGGGGAGACAGTGCAGGGGCAACCCAGGCACCCTGGGGCACAGGGATGGGGCCAGAGTTTGTAGGGAAGGGTGGCAGGTCACATCATGCTGCTCGTCTTGAGCATGAGGTGGGAACATGCCACAGACCCCATGAAAATGCTGTGTCCCCAAATTTCCCCGGCAAAGAGCCAGTGGTAAATTTTGGGGATGGATCTCATGCTGGAAGAGGACTTTCACTGCAGAGGTACAGTCCCAGGGCTTCATGGGGGACAGCAGGGGCTGGGGTGGGCATCACCTCCTCCCATTGCACCTCAGCCTGGTGGGGGAAACAACAGTCCAAGGGACGGAGCAGAAAACTCCCTTGGGATTTCTGGGCACTCACTCGTAACAGTGGAACCAGCTGGGGACAAGAAGTGGTTCCTGCCCAGCACAACCAGTTCTCTCTTACCCCAACGAGGGTAGAGCAGAGCTCAGAGCAATGGAAAGTTACTAAACGTGGACTCAAGAAGGGCCAAGGTCGGGTAGGAGATTTCTGAGACGTGTGAAGCTGCAAAGACAACCTGGAGCAGG